AGTACTTATTTATTATGTGTAACTAAAATTTACAATTATGCATAATCATGCGAGTCAAATATGCGAGTTTATGCGAGCCATTTTCAGAACTCTAAATAAATCTTTATATATCACATCTGAACTAAATTCAACCAGACTGTTATATTATTATTATTTTAATGTACTGAATATATTGATCATTAATAGATTATTATCAAATTTGATTCGTTAAAATTGATCATCATTTTCATGATAAATTGTCGCAACAAAAAAATTTGATTAATAATTTTAATGTTATTTTAATAAAATAAAGTATTTGTTTATAAAAGTTTTACTTTACCATATTTTTTCTTTTTAATAAATCAATTTTCATGTTAAAAAAAAAGCATGTTAATTTTTCAGCTTTACAAAAATGAGAAATTTGTGAAATAAAAGAAAAAAATTCAAATATTAATAATGAAAAACTTGTCAGACAATATAATGTTAAAAAATCAATAATAACAAATATTTTAAAAAAAAGAACGTTAGTTTTTTATTATAATTGAAGAACAAAAAAATATAAAAAAATTTCGTAATCCTAAATAGCTACAGCTTGAAAGTATTCTTAATCTTTAGGTTGATAGTGCACTTATGTTAAATCAAGATAACTATGGTTATATCATTAAGATAAAAGCACAGTTTTTTGCTAATAATCTTCATATTGATGATTTTAATTCATCAGATGATTAGCTTACCAGATTTAAAAAATAATATGGGCTTCAACAATTTAAAAAATAAGATGAATCTGCAAGTACTCTTTCTATTGAATTACTAGAAAATGATAGAATTATATTACAACAACCACTTAGGTCTTATCAATCTGAAGATATCTGAAATACTTATGAAACTAATTTTTTTTGAAAAATAGAATCTTCTCGAACTTTAGCCTATTTTAAAACAGCTAAACATAAAAAAGAAAAAACACGAGTTACAATATGTTATGCTACAAATTCAATTAGTACTGAAACAATGAATCTTACCTTTATCTATCAGCATAAAACACCCTGTGTAATGCGAAATCTTAATTATAAAATCTTTCTGTTCATTATTTCTAGAACAAAAAGGCCTGGATGCAAATTAATATCTTTAATGAAGTTCTCCTTATACTTAATAACTAAATGAAACAAAAAAATTAAAAATTATTCTTTTGATTGATAATGCACCTGTTTATATTATTCTTGATGAAACTCAAGCAAAATTAGATTATTTGCAAGTTGAATTTCTTCTATCAAATACTATTACAACTTTTTAGCCTTGTAATGCCAGAATTATTCATTCATTTAAATGTCACTACAAACGTCTTTTTATCAAAAATTGAATTGATACTTATGATGATCTGCAAAATGGCATAGTACAAGAATTTGCAGATAATAATATTTATGATGCCTTACTTAATATAGCAAAAGCTTGGTCTATAGTATCACTAAAAATAATTGCAAATTATTGATGAAAAACTAATATTCTTTTACAAGAAGCAAATTTTCTAATTCTAAATCCAGATTCTGATAGGTATGTTAATATTTTGTTGTTTATAATAAATAATAAAAAATATATATATAAATTAAATATTATTTATTATTTTAAGTAAAAATGAAATGCAAAAACTTGAAGGATTAATTGACTATTTACCAGAAAATGATCATTTTACCATAGATGATTATATTCATATTGATAATAAATTTGAAGGTGGAATTACTGATAAAGAAATATTAAAGATAATAATAAATAAAAAGGATGAGCTTATAGATATTTTTGTTAATGAAACAGATGAAACAATAAAAGAAGTAAAAAGGTAACTTTAAAAGAAGCTGAAGTTTATATAGATAAAATGTTAAAGTTTTTATATGAACAAGAATCAGAATTCAGGAAAATTAATGAGAAAATAAGAATTTTAAGAAATTTATATAAACAGATTAAATTAATGGTTGTAAAAAATCTTAAACAAATTGATCTTTATCATTTTGAAACATAAATAAAGAATAACGAATCATTTTATCATTTTAAACTAAATTTAATAAAGCAATAATTTTATTAGTTCGCTTTATATACTGAACTGTTTAGTATATAAAAAAGGTATTTTATAATGAACTCTTATTATCTCTTATACTATAGAGCAGATAAATTTGCCTGCAAACATAAAAAAAAAGTATTAATTTTTTAATAAAAAATAAAATATTAATGTTAATAATATAATT